CGTAGCCAAAATGCCAAACGCTAGGTTTCAATTTCCTAATTTTAATATAAACAAAGTATTATATACCTCAAAATTATCTTCATTTAGCCAGTTGAGTTATTATTTGATTGTGAGTTCCAATACGTATTCACTATTTATAGCTGATAACAAATACTATACGTACTACTTTTATTCGAAGACAAAAAACACGTTATTCACGAATCCGACATGACCTCTGCGTTCTGCATTCATTGTAACTGCATTCATTGTAACTTTAAATCTGATGTGTCGTTGTAACCTAACAATACTTTTATATGATTGCATTAAACTTTCTATTTTTCTTGAAAAACCAAAAAGCCCAAAAAAATTTATATTAATACAATGAAAAAATTTCAAAAAAATAAAAGACTAAACCGAGTCGAATCCAATTAGATCATAATCACAAACCGGTTTAAAATTAACAGAATAAGTAGTTTTTTTACTTACCCAGTTCCGGCGAAGAAAGCGAGAGGAATCATCATCTCCCAACCATTTATTGACATGCTGCCAAGTAAAAGTGTGGTTTCATAAATTAAATCATATATAAAGATAAGTGTAAAGAAAAAAAAATATTCGAAACAATTGGACGGTAAAAAAACAAAACAATTGTGATGTTTCCGCAACAACCCAAAAAATAGTCGTGCGAAACGATGCGATAAGATTTATATGATTGATGACTTTTTCTTCTATCATAGTATAGAGTAACATATTATATAAACATAAACAAAGCAATCAAATAATTAAAAGGTAAAGAAACGAAACGACTTACCATATAGACAAAGAGTCAACAGCGATTCGAGCATTCTGAAGATTTCCAGTCATTATAATCAAAATTCGATAATACCAATTCTCCAAACTGTCCAAAAACTCAAACATATCTACTGTTAAAATTTGGATCAGACTTATTAGATAAATATCACAAATGTATATAAATTAATTGGTACCAAAGCATGACGCCAGAAGAAGCGGAAAGTTTGAGAAACTCCCAAAGTCCTGTCAAGGCTTCGGAGGAGAAGCCGGTCCAAGTAAGTGGACAGCCACCGCAAGTGGAGTAAGCTAATAGAATGATGACATTGACCCACCAAGAGATACTAATCGTAGCCATTGTCCCCACGGCTCCTAGTTTAAGCCCGTCCACGAATAACCAACAAACAAAGAGGTGAACCACCAATGCAATAGCAGCCGCAAACGCAGTAACCTAAATAACTCCAAAAAAGCTATTAGCTAGTTTAAAAAAAATGTCGTCTGACTAAGATAGATTATCATAACAAACTATGATTATGGTTGTTTTTGCTATTACACTAAACTTACATATAAACACTTTCTTAGTTGTATTTTAAATGATAGATTACGTACTTGGTTTTTGAGTTGACACTGGAGGAAACGTTGAAGCGGAAAAGACAAAGCGAAGGCTAAATGGAGAGGTATGACCCAAACGGCGACTACACCGGAAAGCTCAGCTATATCGTCTGGTTGACCGAGAAATTTGAGGACCGGAGTTGTGTAAAGATAAGTCGGCAACAACAAGACACAACAAAAGAAGAGAACAATCCAAGAACGTTGCATATAAACTCCCAACATATAATACTTCTTCGCTCCAAAAGCTTGTCCACATAGCGTTTCTAACGCACTCGCCATTCCAAGCTACACCGTTTAAATCATACACAATTAAAACTCTCATATTATTTTTGAAAAACGAAATGAAACCCTTTCGACTAAAACTCAAGTATTGTTTAGATGAATTTACCAAGAGGCCGAAGTTGAAACCGACGACGACGTTATTAACGATGGAGATTGCGGCGAGTTCGAGATCTCCGAGATGACCAGCAAAAGCTTGAGTTATTACAAGCATTGAATATGTCGTTAAACGACTGAATATGGCCGGACCAACGATTTGCCATAGCTTCTTTGTCTCAACCCAAACTCTCTTCTTTATTCCTCCTTCGTCTTCCTCCGCCTCGTGAGGGCTTTTCAACAGTGGAACTCTCGACTCCTCCGCTTCTTCTCCACCTCTTCCTCTCATCGTTAAATCTTGTCTCAATTTTTTTTTTTTGGTTTGGTTTGGAGGAAAAATATAACAAAGGAATATATAAAAAGGAGTGGAAAGAAATGTGAAGACGAAAGATAAGTAGTGTGTGAGTTGGCCTTTCCTATGTATATATTTATAAAACGATGTGTCAGTTAATATTTTAATTTATTTCTGAAAATTTAGAGATTTTTCTAAATATGTAGTATATTATATGGTGGTAGCTTAATTTTGCAAATGTTGACCAAAAAAGAATAATATTTTTTTTGCCTAAATATACCCAAAAACCATAATAATTTTTTTTTAAACTAACATGACATACTCAAAAACC